CAAAAAACGTTGGGCGGTGCCTGGGCGACCGAGGCGTCCAGGCCGCCTAGCGCCTAGGCAAATGCCTAGAACCTAGGTGGCCCAATAGAGAGAAAACTTGTTTTCAAAGGTCGGATTTTGTGTAAAAAATTAAAAAAAACCATATTAAGACATATTTTAGTCCATAATTCCATGCATTTCAAATTAAGACATTGAAAAATACATATTGAGGCATATTTTAGTTTATAATCCAAAATAGCACATCAATTCATTATCAAGGAAATGAAAGAAAATAAGAAATAACATTACAACACATAAGAGTTAGGGACATATGCAACATCATATGCCTGTAGTCCACAATTCCACATAGCACATACACTCCTCCATACTCCATAAGTCCATAACTCCATATCCAATTATCCATAGTCCATAGTCCACACTCCACAATCCACACACAGTTAAAACTTAAAATTTACAAACTAAAGTTACCAAACCACAATACACAACTAAGAGGAATAAAACAAAAATTAAACAAAAATATAAACTTGAAGACTCAAAAAAGTCGTCAATCATCAGTAATCAGACTCACCACTCATCATCAGAAAAAGTAGGGTCAGCTGCATCTGCATCATATGCATTGGAGTTGAAGCCATCATCATCGGAATCATCTCCCTCCTTGACATAATGGTCATCCTCCTCAGTCTTTTCTGAATCTGCCTCTGCTTCCTCCTCTTCCTCCACCCTTGTCCTCTAGGAAGAATATGCCCTAGGAGGGTTGGTTGATGTCCCTGAGGCCTCCATAATCGTATCCCCTGTCAATCTTTTATGCCCCTCGACTTCATCATCATCTACCAAACCACTCCATTATCAATTTTTTTGATCTGAGGGGGTCTCCCTTATCTCTCTTAGCGACCCTCCCTGTCAAGTATCGATTATACTTGATATAGACTAGGTTATTGAGCCTCTTTGATTCAAGCATGTTCCTTTTTTTCGTGTTAATCTAATCAAATCAAATGAAACTAATTAATGAAAATAAATAATGAAATATATAATAGTAATTCTACAAAACTTCAAGTACAAATTTACAATTGACATAACTAAGACCAAGTAACTAATAACTACTAAATTACTAATACAAATTAGTAAATTGTAATTCATAAACTAATAAAGTAAACTAAATTACCATCTCAAAAGTACTTTGATTCCGCTCATAGCGGGACAAAGTAGTGGTTAGCCTCAAATTTGAATGGCCAACTTTTGTAAATTTGGAGCACTACACCCATGTTGGCTCCATCAACTGACTGCAAATTGATTTTGAATTATAATTGTTAATTATATATGTGAAATATTAAGATATAGATTATAGAATAATAGAATTATACATTATGGAAAACAAATTACAAATATGAAATGAAACTTAAACTTGAGGAACTTAAGAATATTATTACTTGGGATCAATTTTGGTCCTTTGCCTCACCGCCATTGGACTCCCAAAAGACTTTAATCTGTACTTGTAACTTATTAGCTCATTAGTGCATATAATATCTTGGATTTCCGGATTAGGGACTAGCACATCTACTCACTTATTAAATCCAGTCATAATTGTGTCATTTGAGCGTATATCCCTATCAGCATAAAGAAAAAGCTGGGTTCAATAAATAACCAGTTGCATGCAATGGTCGATGTAGTTGCCTATCCCACCTCATCAATAATTTCCAATCAAGCTCATCGCGGCTCACATCATCATATAAAGTTTGGGTTATCTCTCTCTTGCATCTCTCCATTGCCCCATATATGTAGCCCATAGAGGGCTTGTCACTATCAACCATGCGAAGGACTTCGACAAGAGGAAAAAAATACCTTGAGAGCACCCTTTAACCCTCGCCATAAAGCCTTAGAGAGGATAATATATCTCACCTTCTTCCCAACTTGATCTTTGGACCACTTGCATGCTCTCTACTCATCTGAGGTAAACATCTGCATCAACTGGACTCTCGTCGAATGTATGCTATCTAGGCATACGTACCAAGTAACAAATCTCGTGACACCGGGCCTCTCAATCTTGTTCTTCTTTGTAAATCTAGGCATCATGTTGACGGTGAGGGTGTGGCTCTAAATGAAAGTCTTAACTGACTTTGCCTTCTTCATTGCACTTGAAATATCGCTCAAACCGCGAAGAGCCTCAAGCATGAGGTTTATACAGTGTGTTGCACATGATGTCCAAAAGATTCTAGGGTAAGATATGTGCAACAAATTAGGAGCAGCATTATGTGTGACAACTTGTATAACATGCTGCTCCCCAACCTCCTTGATTCCCTTCTCCATCATTTGAAATATGTACTGGGCATCATGGCTATAATCAGAGGCACCAATAGACCTCAAAAGAGTCCTTAAAGGACAATTCACCAGCAAATTTATATGGCTTCTCGTCTTCCTATCACTCCAAGTATTAGTCATAACAGAAACCTCATACTGAGCCTATACATCCTTCTGAACATCAACAATCTCCCTTGTGATAATCACCTCTTTTTGAAAGAGGCTCTGATAGCTCATATGGGGTTTGGGGGTTCATCCTAGGCCCAAATTGGAAAATTGCCTCTACCAAGGTGTAGAAGCTGCTGAGGCGAGAGGTATTGAAAGAAATTCCCGCCTCATAAAACCATCTAGCAATGTACCATGCAGCTCTATCTCTCTCTTCCTTCTTGATTATATTTTCTATAGTTGTTTGCTTCATTGCTTTCTCTCTTGTAAATTCAGGGTCACACCGGGGTAAAAAACAATCCATAGGCCCTCCAACCCGAGGCCTCTTTGGCCCCCCACTCCGAGAACCAAATACAACACCTTTCACCTTCCCCTTAATCTGGGATTGTTCTACTTCTTGAAACCCCTCCCCATCTTAATCACTGTCATCATCATCATAATTGCCAGACCTCATCTCTGCTATGGATGCATGTCTCTCATCTATTTTCTTTTTTACAAGACTCATCAAATTTTTTTTCTCCACTCTAATAGTATCAAGAGCTTTTTTACATCGGGCATCATCCCCCCTGATACCGGCAAGATGTTTCTTGAATCGGTTTATGCCTTCATTTGTATCCTTTTCACAATAATTTCATCTTATGCAATTTTTATACAAAGGATTCCAACCTGGAACACCACTTTGATTAAATCCCAAAGAAGACAGCTCAAAATAATACAAGCCATCTAAAAAATATTTTTTTTTACTAACTTTGATTGCTTGATCTCCAAACTTCCACCTCTGAGATGTTTTCTAAGGTCAAAATCTTCTAAAAAACCTTATAATAGACTATAAAACTACCAAAACTAAATCTAATCTCAATGGGTGATGTTTAGATTGATTTCTCGTAACTTTGAGAAACCCTTCGATCATATGGAAATCATGAAAAACTAGTTTTTTGAGGTTTTTTTCTCTCTAAAATGGGCTCAATGGGGTTTAGGTTTCAAATGAACCTAAAACTCACACTTATCCCCCTTGTTTATTAAAAAAAGACCAAAAAATGCCCCTCAACGATGGCCATGGCCACCCAGGACTGGGCACTAGGCGCCCGCCTAGGCTGGTTCCTTAGCACCTAGGCGGCCGCCCAGGAGTAGCCCGCCTAGGCTGAGCAGTCCACCTTTTGGAACAATGCTTATTAATAGTTCTCTAAGTTGGTCTACTAGGAAGACTTCTACTGCAGCGGTTTATGATATATCTCCTTTGCATTTTCATGACTTATTCCTTTACTTGCATTGAGACTGTGGACCCAAATACTTTGAGCATACTTGAATATATGGAGTTGCATGAGAATGTTTGAAGAAAGTTGGAAGAAAGCTATGGCAAGTACTAGGATGTTGTGAATTGTCATTGTCATGTGCAACTGTTTGATATTGGAGATCTTGTGGTGGTGTATTTGAGACCTGAAGGGTTCCTTGGCACCTATGTAAAGCTTGAGGCTGGGAAGATTGAACCTTGCAAGATCAATTAGAAGATTAATGACACTGGTTATGATATAGGGTAGCCAACCGGATGGAATATCTCACCAATCTTAAATGTTTGAGATTTGTTCGTGTTCCATGGTGATGCTGATCCAGTGGAGTCGAGTCGTCTTCAACCCCTAGAAGATGACACAAATTAATTTAAGGAGATGACTTGATTGGATTTTATTTATTATTTTTTTATTTTAGTTATTATTTTTATTATTATTTTTATTTTTTTGAACTATGGGCTTGGACAGGATTATTCTATATTATTTTTATGGGGGACTAGAGGGGAATTTGATTTATTGTGTTGGGTAGGATAGGAAGTTTTCCATTTATAAGATTAATGTACTCTTCTAGGTTGGTTAGGATTTTTCTTTGGATAGCTTGTAAGTACGAGAGGAAATTGCATGAGATAAGGGCTCCTAGTTTAATGGGAGTACGGATTAGAGACAGAGGGAGAGAGAGTACATGGAAGAGAATGCGCATAACTTTTTCCTTTGTTTGTTTTATTTTATTGCTTATATTTGGGAGGGGGATGTCCCATGAGACTTGGACTCGGATTTTTTTTTTTTGGGGAAGAGATTTAATTGAAAGAAGAAAAGTGTTTTTTCTTTCCTTTGACTTGTTTACAGTCATTATTATTCTCCTTTATTGCTAGTTGCTGGCTTGTTCTAAGATTGAAATTAGGCCGGATGTAGTTTACTGGGGTCTTTTCGTCATCAAAATGCATGGGTTTCTTACTTCCATGTTAGTCACTGGTTATGCACATCTATTAATCATAAACTGTGATGTATTTATTTGAAATTTGGTGAGGTATACTATTATCTGAGGGGCTGTGGAAAACCTTGATTCATGGGGGTCTCACCATCCAGTGAAATGATGGATGACAATGATCCCTATGAACTCTAGGCTTTTTCTGTCCTTTATTTACTGTACTTGAAGCTTGATATTGGCACAATATGCTGGTGATTGAAACAATTGGAGTTCTATTCATCCCTCAAAGGAAATAACTAATATTGATCTCTTTCTGTCTCTGCCAGAGTATACTACTGAAAACCCCAAGATAACGACACAGTGCTCTCATCATTTTCACCTTGGTTGTATATACGAGTGGATGGAAAGAAGTGACAGTTGTCCAGTCTGTGGAAAGGTAAATCATTTCTGTTTTACCTAGTTTTTTAGGAAAATATCAGGACAGTACCTGGAGCAACTGCAAATGTCTTGCAAGTCATCCAGAAACTTGAAATATCATGACTGTAATTGGACCCTAGAATCTCTTTACATGACTATTTTAGCCCTGGTCCTGTGTTTTAAATACTGGAGAAGTATGTTCCAGGATCTTATGGTACAATCAGTAATTATTTTGTCGTATAAGTGATAATTATTTGGAGAAGTGAAAATTAAATTCTGACATCCAAGTAAAAATAAACAAATTCATATGTACATAAGGAAGCGATGTTACTTTTATTTTGGATGACACCTAAAGGTAATTGTTATCAACTTTATCTTAATGATGGTTTTGGGTTGCTGGGCTAGTCTGGCCACGGGCATAGTAATTCACCCAATACTTTGTTTCTGCCACCCAAACATGGATGGCAATACTAGCCACTGATATGGTCACCCTCTGAGTTCCGTTATTTGAGGTGGATTATAAAAAACATGGGTGGCCAAATAAACCCCCATTGGTTTCTATATATCGAATAAGAACTTCTAGTTTCCATATATTATGGCATTGAAAATTTCTTAAATTATTTTATGACCTGTATACTTTATTCTCTTCATAGTTGAAATCATGATTGCCTCAAAGAGCATCAAAGATGCAGCTAAGGGGATGCATATGGAATTCAGATATCTTGGACATAAAAGATTGCTCTTTTTTCTTTTTTAATGTGCGAAAGATTGCCTCAGAGATGCATCAAAGATTGCCCCTGCCCAACACACACACACACACACTACTCAATTTGCACTAAGATTTCCCTTGATAAGACCTCAGAAACTTCTAAAGAAGCTTCTGAGCAATGCATTTATGGGATGAATCAGGCTATTATGCACTTGTTTTGTCCATCATACTAATGGCATCGGAACTTCAATTTTCCCCACAGAACTGTCTGAACTCAAAATCCACATTGTCAAACTCATGGGCTTTCCCCATATACACCTTTACGATATCTGGACCCCTTTCTTATGGCAGGACTAAGTAATCAAGGCACTCATGAAACTTGTAGCACATCTACTCTGGGTCTCCCCTTGTGAAAACTTCTTGAAAGGTGTATGCAATATTATCCTCGTACTGTTCATAATTGAATGGTGGTGTCTTATACCCCTGATGTCATACTTGGTTTCTACTAACCTAATTGGTTGAAAATCCTTCATACCTTTGATATCAATGTGATGAAATTGCATTCAGCATGATGGTGTTCTTCTTGCTTCCCTTATGGAACTTGTGGAAAATTTCGAAAGGTCCCAGTCTCCTGGAAATTCTGGAAAAAAAGCAATTGAATCCCCAATTAATTGGGAAAAGGCTAAAATGATGATGATGATGAATCTCCATCTGCGTCCAGCGTGTTCTCTCTCCAAAGATGAAAGCCTCCGCTCCCCCCTGATTCACCCCAAGAAAACAAAAGCACAAAAAAAAAAGCCTCCCCATAATATCCTTCTTGGCTATGCATATCACCATACTGAAAATTCATTAGGAACATTACCAAACCTGAGTTCAAATGTGGGCTAGTTAATCTGTGACAATCATTAAGGGCATGTTTGATATTGGGAAGGTGTGGCTTTGGAAGCTGTCTTCCCAAAGAAGGTAGGTGGCTGCTTCCTGGTCCCCCATGGAAGCTGCCAGGTTGCCACTTCCACTTTTTAACATTGTTTTAGTAGCCGCAGCTTCCAAAAAATTGTGAAGCACTTGCTGTAATCAAACACAGAAGTGTTACAGTTTCTTGAAGTGGCCGCTCTGCCGCTTCCAGAAATCAAACTTGCCCTGATTGACAAGGTTTCAAAGCCGTGTTACCTGAATTCATATTCCTTTGCATATGCATTGATTATTTATGCCTTGATTTCTGTGCAATTAGAAGTTGAAATCTCATCAAAATTATAGACCAAACGCCTCTTCATATTTATGCATGTTGCAGTCATCATTATAGTTCCCACATGAATTATCAATAGAGTTATCAATTGTATAGGCTCTAAGAAAACCTTATTTTCTTAACGAATTGTGATGCTTTCATTATAACTCACTTGTCAGGAGCCTGATATATTTGGGGAGCAGTTATTTTCTCTTTGACAAGTTGTATTTGGGGTCTCTTGGCTGGATGTCTTGCATGATATTTATATTGTCGGCCTATTAAGCCTTTTTTGTCTCTTTTTGTTTTTAGCAAATTATGATTATATTTTCCTAATAATATTGTAAAGGGTGTGGTTTGTGTAAGGTTGCGACCTTAAAATTAACGCGCACCTCTAAATTTTATCATAAGCATAATTTTGGTGTCAAAAATTCTTAGGATGGCTTGAGGATCTATTTTCATCTCTAATTATAAAATCTTAAACTCTAATATGGTTCTAATCAAGTACAGCTATAAAGAAAATATTGAAAATGGGCGGTCCAAATAATGTGTTGTGAGATACATTATTTTTAGGACTGGAAATCTTTTTTTCTTTTCATATTCATACATCGCAATGTCGAGATGATCAGTTTAAGGGTTTTCCGACATCAAAACAACTTTTTGTGATGAATTTTTTAGGTGCACCTTAATTTTACATTTTAAGGTCGCAACCTTGTATAAACTTTTACCTTGTAAATAAAGCCAAATCTTAACAATTCTTTGTCAGACCTCCATCACCAATTATTTTTATTTGGATTGATGAGCATCAGCATTTTACCCAGCAAAACATCCTTATTAGGCTGGCTATTTGATTAAATCATTTCTGCCTTTCTCTCTCTCTCACACTGAAACATGCGGACATGCATGTTCATTAAATACACAAGTGAAATCAGATAGCCTACGCTGTTCTTTTGATATACTAACTGTTACACGTGCCACAGTCTTAGTAATCTCTTTTGCATATCAGGAAATGGCATTCAGTGAAAGCCCGTGACGATAGAGAGAAACGGTTGATAATTTCATGCTTTTGGAAGGTTGAGAAACACTGTAAATGGAATTTCTACACATACCCAGATGATGGAACTTACGAGTTCGAAAGGATAAACTGAATGTTTGTGTACATCCTTGTAAGTAGTCTGTATTTACCACTTTTAGTTAATCTTCTGATTGTTATTGGGATCAGTTTAAACTAGATTTGTCTGCTGAAAAGAACAGGGCAGAAAGGAAAAAACATGGATCAGCTGTGTGATTTGATTATACCAAATATGGAGTATGTCTCTTTATGTACTCCATTTGGTTAAAGAGGTCTTGCTGTTGTGGGGAAGCTTTATGTGGGAAATGTGAGTTTAACGGGCTTGTTGGATTGGCAAGTATATGAAATATATATGTTTATTTTATTTTATTGTTTTAATAGTGTGATATTCAGCTTTTCCTCTTGTTTGTTAATTGACTTCCATTGGAAATTGTGATTGAGAGAGAAGGGGAAGGTGGCCCAAGAGAATAATTAGAGGGAGGAGTGTTGTAGCACTTCTCAATCGACTTTATAGAAATTTTAGCCTGCCGTAATAGGCATTTATCTTTAGGTGGAGGTTTGTATAAGGTTGCCTCCTTATACTGTTACATAGATATTTCATTTTGGTGTCGAAAATCTTATAATGCTGTAAAATCTCTTTTTATTCTCAGTTTGTAAAATTTAAAATTTCAAAAATAGTACAGATCAAACAGATCAAGAATCACTTGAAAATAGACAGTCCAGATAATTTGTTGCACGATGCATTACTTTTTTGACTTTGGAATTTT